TTGAGGAGGGGAATGGGATAAAATAAAATTTATATAAAAGAAAAAGAAAAAAAACACAATAAAGACAGGTTCTGGTTAAGTCACTAAATTGCCCAGAGTAGGCCAAACCTACAATCCTCCTGCCTCAGCTTCCCAGAGTACTGGGATTACAGTTTTCCCACTTTTTAAAAATGTGGGTTGAGACCTAAACGATAGGAGTGGACTTGAGATAGAGGGTTCTGAGAAAACACAAGCAGCAGGCAGAGGAAGCAACAATTCAAACTTGAAGCGGGGCAAAGGCAGTGTCAGAGGGATAGAAGGAAGTGGTGGCACAGAGTGGACTGGAGTGGCAGGGGCTGGCGCCAGGAGCCCTGGGTGCTTTGGAGACTCCTGAAAATGTTCGAGCTGAGCTGCCAGGTGTGGGGGTGCACACCTGTAATCCCAGCACTCAGGAGGCTGAGGCAGGAGATGGCCATAAGTTCAAGGCCAGCCTGGGCTACATAGTGAGACACTGTCTCAGAAAAACCAAAAAAAATAAAAAACAAAAAAAGTGAAGTTTGAGTTGATTCTCAGAGCAATGGGAAGCCACAGGAAAGACCAAAAGGGAAAGGCATGATCTTACTCAGGTTTTTAAAGTATCCACCCTGGCTGGAGCAGCAAAATGACCACAGGGGATGAGAATGTAAGCAGGGAGACTGCTGAGAAATTAAGTCAGAAACCACCATAATGGGGGGTGTTACACAGGAAATGAATGGGCTCCAGAAGTGTTCTGGAGATCAGGCCAACAGCTTTCACTGAGTGTTTGAGGCTGAGGAAGGAGGAATCAGGGAAGAATGGTGAACTTTCTTTAGTTTGAGCAACCAGTGCTATTTTGTTAGATGGGAAAACTGAGGGCAGAGCAAGATAAGGAGGAAAAATCAAGACTTCTGTTGCAAAATCCACTGAATTTGAGGTGCCTATGAGGTATCCAAATGGAGATGTCCATTTGGGAATAGAATGCAGATATAAAAATTTAGGAGGCAGCAGCATAGAACTACATATAGCCACAAGTATGGCCGTCACCACCCAGGGAAAAGAATGTAAATAACAAGACAAAGGACCAGACAAAGCCCATCCTCACTCAGGAACACATAGAAGGCTCAGAGGATGGGCTGGGAAGGAGCAGCCAGGCGGGGATGTGATAGCCAGACCTTGTGGTATCACAGCCCCAGGAGAAGAGATGTCTGAGGAGGAAGAGTAGGCAGTAGTGTGATGCTGCCAGGATGTCAAATAAGATGATGACACTAATGTTCCTACTACTGGTGGCTAACAGCTACTGAGCACCTACCATATAACACGCCTGTAAGGTACTGGCCTTAGAATCTTCTTAACAACTCCAAAGATGGATAGAAAAGAACTCACTGGACTTGGTGACACAATGGTCAAATGAAGAGATTCTTCTACTCAGGAGGCTGAGGCAGGAGGGTCACAAGTTGGATGCCAGCCTGTACAACTCAGTGAGACCCTGTCTCAAAATTAAAAATATTAAAAAGACCAAGGATGTGGCCCAGTGGTATTATGCTTGTCCCACATGCACAAGGTTCTAGGTTCCATCCCCAGCATAAAAAGATAGACAGACAGAGAGATGGCTAGAGAGAGAAAAGAAAGAGAGCCAGGCGTGGTGGTGCACGCCTGTAATTCCAGCATTGAGAGGCTGAGCAAGAGGATTGCCTTGAGTTTCAGGCTGCCCTCAGCTACATAGCAAGTTCAAGTCCAGCTTGGGCTACATAGCAAGACACTGTCAAAAAAAGAAAGAAAGAAAATAAAAGAGAAAAAAGAAGGAAAGGAGAGAGGAAGAAAGAAAAGGAGGAAGGAAAAAAAAGAAAGATTCTTTATTCAACAATAATCAAGTCCCACATCTGTGAGAACTTAATAAAAACCACCAGAGATACATAATACAGTCAGATAAGTGTTTTAAAGAAAATGAACAGGCCAAAGTGTTCTTTTTGGTATAAGGAGGTGACAAATACTTGAAGGAAGAGTGTTAGCAGAAGAAAAAGCAAGTGACATGATCCTGAGGTAGCAGCAAGGTGCTGTGCAGCTGGAGAGCAGAAGCTCTGAGGAGAGCAATAGGATGAGTGGTAGGGCCATGGAAGATCAAGTTCAAGGTCAGATTAGTAACAGGTGCCAGACCAAGTGGAGCCTTGTAGGCCTGCTAAGGACTTTAGGGTTAGGGTTGGGGTTAACTGGAGGCTGTCACAACGGACTAAATAAGAGGAGGTAGTGGCTTACACAGATGATGGCGTCTGAGATGTTAAGAAATGGTCACAGTCAGGATACAGTTCAAAGTCAGGATCTGCTAATGGTTTGGAGGCAGAAGAAAAATAAGTGTCACAGTTTGGACACATTAAATTTTATGTGCCTGACATTGAAGCAGGGATGCTAAATAGGTAACTGGTTAGAAATCTGGAATTCAGAGGAGAAGTTAAGCTAGAGATAATTTGGAAAGTTACCAGCATATAATTAAGGTCATGGAATGGATGACATCATCCAGAGAATGAGGAAAGTTCTAGAAGAATCTGAGAGGGTGACACAAATCAGTCACTTCAACCTACAGGCCATTCGGAGGAGGAGCCAGCAGGGGACAGTATGTCAGCAGTGATTCATGAGGTAAGACACTGGAGGTACTGGCACACCAGAAGACAAGTAAAGACAGACTTTTTAGAAGAAGTAAATGTGTTAAATGAGTAAGATTAGGAGGAAGAATTAACCTTTGAATTTGGTAAAGGCAGAGGTCACTGTGACCTCATTAAGAGCAATGTCACCTAAGAGAGGGGATGAAAACAGCCAAGATTTAGGTGGGTCTCAAGAGAATGGAAAAAGAAGACATAGAGATAATGACTATAGACAACTATTCTGAGAAAATTTTCCTTTAGAGAAAAAGCCCAACATGATGGCACATGCCTGTAATCCAAGCACTCAGGAGGCTGAGGCAGGAGAATTGCCAGGAGTTCAAGGCTAGCCTGGGCTACATAGTGAGTTCAAGGACAGCCTGAATTACATAGCAAAAGCCTATCTCAAAAAACAAAAATGTAGAGGGATAAAGTAGTATCTGAATAGGTACATGGGGCTAAGAAAGGTTTGTGGGGTTTTTTTTAGATATGAGTTATTGTGCATGTTTGTATGCCAATGGGATTGACCCGGTAGAGAGAACGCAATGAGGGAGAGGAAGGGCTAATTTTAGGAGCAAAGAGCTTAAATTCCATGGGATGGGATTCAATATAGAGACTGAGGAAATTGCCTTTAATAAAAGTAAGGTGAGTTGACCCATTATTAACAGGAGAAAAATCGAGCATTTATGTACAAGTGCTGGTAGTTTGGTAGATTCCAAGATAGAAAGATATGAAAATCTTTTGTGATTTCTTCCATTCCCAGTGAGGAAAAATGTGAAGTTGTCAGCTAAGAGTAAAAAGGAAGGAAGGAATTTTGAGAGACATGAACACTAACCATGATTTCTGGTTCATTGGGAAATGAATTGATGGGGGAAATGTGTGACTGCTAAGCAGCCACTGAGAACCTCGCAGAAGTTCAAAGTTGTAAATTTAAAGATCAGTGCACATGGTTGTTTCTGTTCTCTTATCATTTATCTGCTTTACAAGTGCAGGTGAGGCTTGGATTTAACCAGGCAAGAATGATGGTCTAGGGCCAGGGATTTAGCTCAGTGGTTCCAGCTCCTGCCGCGAAAGTGCAAGGTCTGGAGTTCGATCCCCAGCACCAAAAAAAAAAAAAGAATGATGTTCTAGAGGTAAGGGAGTTAAGGAGTTTTGCAATTGAGTGACTGTATTGGTGGACCACGGAAGATAAGATAAGTAGAGAGAGAAGGACATAGGCAGTGTATAATGAAATAGAATCAATGGATTAGAGGTCCTGTTGAAGCTGAAATTTTTGCAAAAATGAGACACAGAGGAGTGAGCTAGAAAGACAGGACATAATTAGAGATTATAGTGCCAGAAAGATTCTACAGCAATTGACAGGGCTGGGTGGTGGTTCCCTAAGGTGGGCTGAAAGACAAGATCCTTATAAGTGAGGGCATCAAAGAACTCAGGAGCCAAGTGGCTTATTCATGGGAAATTGGGAATCATGGCGCATGATGCCCAAGTGCTTGTGGAAAGGCTGGAAACTAGAGCAGTTTCGCCAGGTGAGTTGAGAGAACAGGAGGTGAGGAAATGGATCAGCTCTTCTGACAAGTTCTACAGTGAAGGACAACAGAAAGATGGCAGTGATGGTGGGGAGGGAGGGCGGGAAGGCACGGCTGTGGTAAGAGGGTGGATGGGTTGCTGGGTTGAACTAAAGGCTTTGTCAGGAGAAGTATGGTGGATAGCAAGAGCTCACGAAGTGGCAGATGTGCAGGAGCAACTGCAATGATAGAACACGAAACTGAGGCTGGGCAAGAAGGAGCAAAGGAGAGAGCACCTGATAAAAATTGGTCAGACTGGAGGTCCAATGTGGACAAAGAATTGTTTTGGGTTGGGTCCTCAGTGAGCTGATGCAGTTGAAGTTTGGTTTGGTTTGTTTGCTTTTGTTTGTTTGAGACAGGATCTCAGTATGTAGTTCAGGCTGGCCTTGAACTCCCTATGGAGCCCAGGCTGGCCTCAAACTCACAGCGATCCTCCTACCTCAGCTTCCCAAAGGCTGGGATTACAGGCGGGCTGTACCACCACACCTGACATCCTTGTTACCTCTGAACTTAGTGAGGACTGAGTATAGTGAGCACTCAGGTACACTCTAAATACTTGCTCCAGGAGTGTTTTGGTTTTCCCAGGGACCATATGTCACTGACAAAAATACCCTCTCTTCAGAGAGCAGGAGAAATGATGTAACAAAACTTAAATGCAACAGTGGGGAAAGCACCGCGGAGGTGATGCCATGGTTAGCTGCAGAGGAGAATTTAAAGGGCTTCCATGACCTAAAAACAGGTCATCAGACAGTAAGGGCGTCAGCAGGTGGCAGCCAAGGAAGTAGAGAGACTTGAGTCCATCATTATCCAGATGTCGGCCTCCCATGGGGTCCCGCTAGATGACACAAGCGCGAGGTTCCTTTACAGCCCAGCAAGCTGTAGCGAACGAACCTCCTCTCGGACGTCAGCCCTGGCTGGGTGGGCTCGTGGAGAGGACACCTACCACTCAGGGAAGACAAGTGAAGGCCGGGCGGGCATCTGGCGATCAGAGACGGGTGCATCATCGCCGCGGTGCTGGGACGCAGCTCTGCCTCAGCGGCCTCGCGGGGCTCCTGGGGCTCCCGGGGCTGCTGGGCCCTACGGAGCCTGTGGGGCGCGTGCGGCCCCCGGGGCTTGTGGACCGCCCGGGACTCACTGGGCTCGCAGGGTGCGTCGTGTTCGCCGGCCTCGGGGGCTGTGTGGGGCCCACAGGGCTCGTGGGGCTCGGGGGGTCTGTGGGAGCCCGGGGGCTGCCCCGACCGCTGCCCCTCGTCCCACTCGCGTCCGTCGTCCGGCTCGCCGGCCTCCTCGGTCTCCGCCTCCTCCCGGGACTCCCGAAGCTCGGTGTGCACGTCGAGGATTCTGAGCACCAGGGGCTTCTCCAGGACTTCGGAGTAAGTGGACGTCTCGGTCGTGCCCTGCCCGTCGGTCTCCTCGGACAGCAGGGACGAGCCTGAAAGCGCTAGGTCCTCCATGGGTCAGAAGCTCCCGCTCCACCTCGGCCGCCCGCCGGCCGTCGCTCGCTCACAGGTCGCCTTCTACGGCCACCAGGGGGCGCCGCGCCGCCCATCACTGGGCGTGGCCGTATTGTCGTGGGTTCTCCGCCCACAAGGGGCGTGTCCATAGAGACTCCGGGCTGCAGCCTCATTGTACTCTCTCGGTCTAGGACGGGAGGCCTCATTTCCCACCCTCACCCTTCCACCCAGTAGGTTGTAGGCTCGCTGATTTATGTCACAGAAAAGAATCTCAGGACGTCATCAGTGACGGGCACGGAATTAAATACACACTCAGAGAAAGAGGCATGCAGGCCCTCAAAGACAGGCGCGCTGTGATCTGGGGTTGGGGAAAAATGTATGAGGGACGATTGAAAAATACAGTGAATTATTAAACTTTTAAAATTGTATCAAAGTAAGAAGCACAGTGAGGCTGGGGATGTAGCTCAGTGACCCTGTGCCTACCTGGCAAGTGCAAGGTCCTGAGTTCGATTCCCAGTACTGGGAAAAATTTAAAAGAACTACAATAAGAAGCACATTGCCATTAATCTCCCTCAAATACTCTCCCTCGCTTTGAACACATTTATTCCATTGTTCTTACCACTTTCTTAAGCAGTTCTGGAAGTGATAAAAAATACAATGAATGCTGTTGCCCAGTGCCATCCAACGGAAAGGCGGCCTCGTCAAAACACGATGGTGTTCTCATCTACCTTACTGGATCTGGCACCGTGAGACTTCTATCTCTTCCCCAAAGTCAAAATGACCATGGAAGGTGGTTTTGAACTCATTCAGGACACAGAGGCAGTCAGGGCAGGGCTAAAGAGGACCCCAGAGCTGCTTCCAAAAGTGGCAAGAACCATGGGATAAGTGTGTTCCAAGCCGGGAGGATTCTGAGGGAATAAGTGGCAATTTATCTATTACTGTAGTACATTTTCAACACAGCTGTTTTGTTTTTTGATTTTTGGTTTTGGTACTGGGGATTGAACTCAGGACCTTGCACTTTTGAGGCAGGCAGCAGAACCACTGAGCTAAATCCCTGGCCCTCAACACAACTGTATTTGTTACTCAGTCACACCTTCTATGTGTTCCTGGAGGTATCATTTAAAATGGATGACCTAAGATGTTTTGCCTAAAAACATTCTTTGAATCCCTTGAATCTGTTTCTTTGTTTGAAGGTCAGGTCGCTGCCCTTAACCTTAAGGACTTGGTGAATTCATGGATTTGCAGTATCTTTAAGGGATCTGGCTGGAGGGCCTGGAAGAAAAAAATAATCTATCTTAGGGAGCATAAGCGAGCTAAGGAGTAAAGATATGGAATGCAAATATGGATGCTCTTGAGTAATTCTGTGTTTGGAAGTTACAGTTTTCTTAAAAGTACAATTTTAGGGGGAGGATGGGGCATGGGGGGTGGGAAAGAATGATTAAAGTATGTTATGTACAGGTACAAATCTCCCAAAATGAAACCCAGTACTCTGTAAAAACACTACACACTAATAAAAATATGAAAAAATCAATTTTAAAATTTAAGTGCAATTTTTAAATTAGTTTTCCTTGTCTCCTTTCTTCCTATCTTCAATCTATCAAAGTACATATATAGTAAATCTAAGGACACCTTTTGCACATTACTGGGTATGAGTGGATATACTTTTCTTATAGATGCAAAGAAAAGGTAAAAGAAACATTTTGGTTTGTGGACATTATCTGGACTGGAAGTAGGAGATTCATCTTAGTATATGGGTACGTGAATCAAGAAATCACCTTCAGATTCATTTTGATGTTGACCTGTGCACTATTACACAGATTTAAGAAGTAGCCCCTGAAACTTTGGAAAAAGGAGAACTAAAGTACTCTCAGAAAAATGTTAACAAGCTGTACACAATCAGGAAAGAGTTATGTAAATTTACCTTTAAAAAGCAAGATGACCCCTAAGTCCGTATAAGAAGCCTACCGCTACATGAAAGGCCTTTAAACATCCGATGAACACACTGGTGGGACAAGGACTTCAGCTAAAAGTGAGTACACAAGAGGAGTCATAGAGGCTGTGCCCATCAAAAACTGCAGAGGGTGGGGCCTGAGGGTGTAATTAGCGGTAGAGGGCATGTGACATGCAGGCAACTGTCTGACATGACCCAGCTTCTCAGGAAGTCCACTTACTGGGAGGGACTAGTGATGAACTCTACTGGTCCATGTCAGTTATTTACTGGCATTCTGGTTTTTATACAACTTCATGCATCTGACTACTGTCCTCCCTGAGGAAAAAAAATTTATTTGAGACAGAGACTAAGTCGATAAATTGCCCAAACTGGGTTTAAACTTGCAATCTTCCTGTCTCGCCCTCCCAGACTGCTGAGATTACAAGCATGCACCACCACTCCCAGCTAGGAGTTAATTGTGCTTCTCCTTTTCTGTCTCACCCTCCTCATAGTCAGTGCCTCTGCAACTCCAGTTAATTCTGCAAACATGTCCTTAAAACACCCTCTTCTTTCTACACCCAGTCACCCCCCAGCCCAGGCCACCACCATCTCTGGATTCTCTGATGGCTCCCGACTGGCCTCTGGACCCTCTCTCTGTCCACCTCAGTCATGCACTCCAAACTATTTTCAAAAGACTCCAGGCTTTGCGCATGCTCTGGCCCTTTTCTTTCTCCCTCAATTGACTTTGGGCCACTCCATCCTTGCTCTCTACCTTGCAGCCGGCCTGTTCTCTAACTTGCCAAGCTCTTTCCATTTCCTTCTCCCCAGACCTGTTCCATTTCCTGGAGCCCACCTTCCCTCACACTTCACATATTGGCCCTTTTTATCCTTTAGGGTTCAGTTTAAATATCACCCACTCAGTGAGGTCTTTTCGGCCCATGTCACTTTTTAAAATGTTCCCTCCATTATGTTCTATTTCAGTTCTTTGCTTCACTATAACCTGTAATTATTTCATCTGCTTGTTTATTTTTCTGTGTCTTGCCCCAGCTAGAATGTAAGCTCCTTAAGGACAAGGACTTTTTCTGTCCTGGTCATTAGTGTGTTCCTATATGAAGGACAGTGAATAACTTCGGATAACTGTCATTATTTCCCTTGTTTTCTTGCCTAGCATCTCTTCTGAATACAGAATCTCCATTCTGTGATAAGTTCTCCAAGGGGTAAGTGCCACCTCCTGAGGCCTGCTGGGAAGACTGCCAGCCAGACAGCCTCTTAGAGGATGCACCAAGTGCCATTAGACCCCACTGTGACGTACCTGAGTTGCTAGCCTGAGAGCATTTCCAGTGTAGGATGCCTGCTTTATTCATTCCCAGCATCAAGCAATGACGGCCCTATTGGTACTCAGTGACTGTTTCCTGAGAAACAAACTTCCCACCCTGCCTGGTGCCACACACCTGTAATCTCAGCACTCAGGAGGCTGAGGCAGGAGGATAGCTAGCTGCTAATTTGAGGCCAGCCTTGGCTACAGAGTGAGTTCGAGGCCACCCTTACTACATAGTGAGACATTATCTTAGAAAAAAAAATTTTTTAAAGGAGAACAAAAAGAAATACTCCAGCAACAATATTTGTTGCTAAAGTGCAGAATATAAAGGAGAACATGAGAAAAAATACTGAAAAGGAAGAACAAAGATATTACCCCCCCTCCTGAAAGCTTTTGATATCACTTTGAAAGAAAGTACCCAAGAAATTTTGTGTGCTCTTGACCCCTTTAGAAAACAAGGAGGAGAGTGTATATAATCCGAGTTTGGGCCTGGGAGTGGTCTGTATCAGACTTGATCCTTTTACAGTCAGAAGACCAAGCTGGTTAAGGGGTCCATTCATGAAAATCCTTGGGACAGAAATGAAAATCTGGGTTTTCTGACAATCCTGAATCAATGTGTGACCCAACACAAAAGAAAGTTTGACATCAGACAGCGGCAGCTATGAAGGACACCACTGAACCTAAATCGTGCAGCAGCACTGGCTACGGGCCTTGAGGAGGCCTGGAGAGCTCACAGTCCACTGCCTCCCGCCTCACCCAACAAGCGTCCTTGTGTACATCCACATGTCCTTAAGTTGAGTTCCATTCTGTGACAACCTAAAACTTTAGAGGCAGCTGTTGCTAACATTGAGGGGTTAATCATCTTCCCCATATTTGGCTCTTCACTTTGCTATTTAAAAGGATGGATTTACAGAACAAAATCTGTTTTCAAATATATGTTTTACATCAAGGCAAAGCACTTTAGATGAAAGCTGGAAAGTGTCTATAGATAAATATGGCTATCATTCTTATAAAACATTTCTAATGAAGTCTATCTATATATAAGCCAGGCATAGTGGTGTATTGCTGTAATCTCAGCACTCAGGAGGCTGAGGCAGGATTGCTGCAGGTTCAAAGCCAGCCTGGGCTACATAATGAGTTCAAGGCCAGCTTGAACTACATAGTGAGACCCTGTTTCAAAAAACCAAAAAATGTAAAAGATTAAAAAAAAAAAACAAAAAACAAATGCCCACTGGTTCCTCCAGTAATATAACGTGCTCCTAGAAGATAAGTCTTTCTTAACTCTTCCTGAATGCAAGTAATTCTATTTCTCTGTGGTTTGAAAGTACTAGCTTCCTTCCTTCCTTTTTTTTTCTTTTTGAGACACGGTCTCACTATGTAGCCCAGGCTGGCCTTGAATTCATAAAGCAGAACTTCGAGAAAATCAGTTATTTCCTAGCCTTAAGCAGTTTTCTCCTAGCTGCATTCAGTGTCACTCTTGGATTCCTCCTCCCCGTAACTGCTGACATCTGCTCTGCTACAGAGAGGGTAAATAGCAGGATTCTCTCTCTTTCTCTCTTTTTTTTGGTACTGAGGATTGAACTCAGGACCTTGCACTTTCGAGGCAGGTGTCGGAACCCATGAGCTAAATTCCCGGCCCAATGGCAAGATTCTTGCTAGCAAAGCCCTGTGATGTCCTGGTTTCTTAGGAATCTGACTTCTTACAAGGCTGACCTTTGCTCTGGTATTGATAATGTAAATAATCACACCCCTGTAAATGGAGTCCTGTGACATCTCCAGAGCTGTTTTCTCTCAAAAAATACAAATAAGGCTGGCAACTGTATTCCTGTAAACAAGATCCTATGACATCCTGGAATATCTTATATCTGCTAACTTTCAAGGCTAAGCTGTAAAAATCTCACTGAGTAAATAACTGATTTTGTCTCATTTTACACCAACTCCTTCAAAAAATGTATAAAAACTGGAGCCTTTCTTTGTTCATGGCTCAGCCCTTTGGACATAAGTCCAGCTGTAGTTGGTGTGCACCTAAAATCTTGAAATAAAATACTCCTGTTTTCCAGTGGTCTCCTGTCTCTTGAATTCTGTAACACTCATGCCTCAGCTTCCCAAGTGCTGGGATTACAGGAGTATGCTGCCACACCTGGCTCTGTGTGTAGTAGTATTATTGGCTCTGTCCTGTAGTATTAATGGATCTATTTAAAGATAAAACACTTGGAATTTTACTCAAAAAGAGAAAGATTATTTAAATGTTTTAATATAAGTTTAATGTCATTTAAAAAAAAATCACAAATAGATGAAGGTTTACTTAGGTTCATTTACTTTTATTAATTGAAAATCCTAATCCCAGAGCTGAGGATGCAGCTCAGTGATAGTGTGTTTAGCTAAGTCAATCTCCAGCCTGCCCACCCTGCCCAGAAAAAAACAAAAAATCACAAAGGTCCCTAAGTTCTCTCAAATATACTGTTTTTTAAATATTTTTAAAGTTCAAAATCTAAGTGGATGGCAAGCACAAGGTCCTGAGTTTGATCCCTGGTACTGAAAAAAAAAGAACAAAATCTAAGTGGATACTCTTAATGAATTAGTGTTGTCTTTGTGTACATGCCATGTAGTAAACAAATAGGAAATGGCTTATCTTTTATTTGAAGGTTAAAACTTTAACTTCAGGCCTGCCATGCAGTACTCCCTGAGGACACTCAGCACCTGAGGTCCCAATGGACCTGGGCCCAGTCAAGGCCCAGTGGCAGCCAGGTGTGCAATCAGATCTTTGGCATCTTCCATGATGGAAGGGATCTCAGTGCTGGTCTCTGTCACTTGAGTTCCAAACAAGAACAGCTTCCTGTCATTTCCCACCTCAGACAATGTCGAGGCTTCATGGATATCTGTAATGTGATAGGCTGCTTCTAGATCCTTCACCAGGGTGGAAAAAGAATAGAAAAAAGTTAGTTATTTGGCAACCCTTTTGGATACACTTATTTCTCTTATTTGTTGCTCCCAGTGACTCCACCATTTTAACACAGTACATGACTCAAGCATTATGACCCCAGTGGTTGTTGAAATATAAATATTTTCATCAGAATTATGCCAATGTTTACAAGTTATCAAAAAGGTATTTTCTAGAATAAAGCTAAGCCAACATAGTACCTAAATTTTCTGAACAGTGGTGTTGATCTATGTTTAATTTTGTCTTCCCATTTTCCTTCTAATCTTTCAAGATTTTTTTTTGTCTAGATCATATTTTACTAATTTTGTCTAGATCATATTTTACTAACTCACTTGCTGCTGTGAGTTTTCTAATCATTATTTCTACTTAACAAAAAATTTGGATCAAAATTTTAGGGATGAAGGGAGACAGAGAAGGGACCAGCAAGGAAGCTGATTTACAGAAAGGGACAGTAAGGGGGGAGACCAAGAGGGGCAAAAGGCATAAAAACATGGAAAAGGCTTAAAGAGGGAAACTCCTAGGAAGAGGCAGAGATGCCCATGTTGGTGCTGTGTGCCATGGTCCACACTTTTAGAGATCAAAATGGCAAGGTAAAAGCATGTTTTTGTGCATCTCAGATGACAAAAGCATTTATGCAAATGACCTCTGATATTCCTTTTTGTAAATTGTTTTTCAATCCTCTGAAAAAATTTTGGCATTTTCAATTCTAAAACTGCATTTGTAATCAGCTTTTTGGTTTTTTACAGCACTCTTTTGTTTTTTTGTTTTGAGAGTCTCCCTATGCTGTGCAGGTCAGTCATGAACTGTGGGGCTCAAGCAGCCCTCCTGCCTCAGCCTAGGGAGTAGCTAAAACTGTAGATGTGTGTCACTGTGCCTGGCCAGCCAGGGGATCACCTTTACATCTCTGGAAATCATCCAATATTGAGTCTCCCCCCGCCCCCATACCAATAAAACCTAGCAAATTCTATCACTGAGAGCCTGTGAGACTTTTTCAGATGTGCTGTACATGGTCACTGGTTAGGGCTGGCTACCTCTGGCTTATAGGCACAATATAGTGCCTGCTTGAAATCTGAACTCAGTTAGTGCTAGAGCCTGCAGGAAAGTTTTGTAACAGTGTTCATGGATCCAGTAACATAAGGATGATGTCTTGGGTTAATAAGTTCACTGATGGAATTGGAGAGGAAGAAATAGGGAAAAGGGTTTAAGATAGGAAGAGGGCCCTTTGTAATGATATATCACATCAAGTGTAAATACAAGGTTTATTCCTCACTTATATAATTGTGCCTTAAAAGGTCATAACTCAAAGAATAAAGATAATAACTTTTGAAAACCATTATCTAATAAGAACCAAGAGAGATTATGTAAAGGTACAAATTTCCAACGATGAATGTCATTATATTGTATACCTAAAATGAACCAATAAAATTAATTTAAAAAACCAATATCTAGTAACTTGAACTTGAGTTATCTAAAAGCATAAACTAAATATTTTGGCCAAAATATACAAAGATGCATTAAATTCAAATATCCAAGTCTTTAATCATTAAGACCCAGCAACAGTTACCCATTTGACTGTGAATGGCTCTGTTTATTCAGTTTGATGGAGACAAACACTACTATGTTTTAGATCTAAAATGCTCCCCGAAAGTGTCATGTGTTTAGAGGTGGGGACTGGCTGGAAGAGGGAGGGTCACTGGGGTGTGGCATGGAAGGGTGTATTCTCGCCCCCTGCTGCTGCCTTCTCTCTGTCAGGGTTGAGCAATGTTCCTCCACCTTGCCCTTCTGCGTGCTGCTCTGTCCTGGAGCCACCAACCATGGACTAAACTCTGACAACAGTGACCCAAAATAAACCTCTCCTCCTTTAAGTTGTGGATACTAGATATTTGGTTACAGCAACAGGAAAGTAGCTAATATAGACACAAACCACAAAAGAAAGTACCAACAAATTTGACAAAAATGAAAATCTTCTAAATCTTTGTAGTTTCCCTCCACTGCCTTTCTATTCTTTTTCTTTCTTTCCTTCCTTCTCTCTCTCTCTTTTTTCTTTCTTTCTTTTCTTTCTTTCTTTCTTTCTCTCTCTCTCCCTTCCTTTTCTTTCTTTCTTTCTCTCTTTCTTTCTTTCTTTCTTCTCTTTCTGTTTCTCTCTCACTCATTCTCCCTCCCCTCCACCTCCTCCTTCTTCTTCTTCCCCCCACCCCCACCCCTACCAAGGCCTTTACACTGAGCCACATCTGTAGCCCCTTTAAAAATGTTGACACAAGTTCTCGATAAGTTGCTAAGTTCCCCAGGCTGGGCTCAAACTTTTTATCCTCCTGTCTCAGCTTCCCAGAGTAGCATATGTCATCATACTTTTCTGTGTTCTTCTCTTTTCTCTGCTTTCCTCTCTTTTCCTCAGATCTCCAATCCTCTCTTTTCTCTTCACCTTCCCTCCTCTCCTCTCTTCCTCTCTTTCTTTCTCAGGGCTTTGCACATGCTAAGCATGTGCTCTACCACTGAGCTATGCCTCCAACCCTAAATCTTCGTAGTTTATGGTACTTAATATGCTCCACTTAAGCCACTTAAGTCATGGCATATGACTATAATCTCAGCACTCTGGGAGGCTGGGACAGGAGGATTGCAAGTTCAAGCCCTGCCCAGACAGCTTAGTGACTTAATGAGATCTTGTCTCAAAATAAAAAGGGTCTGGGGATGTAGATCAGTACCAAGGCCCTGGTCCAAACCAATGTACAAAACAAAACAAGATGCTCCATTGAGCCAGGCATGGTGGCACATGCCTATAATCCCAGCATTCTGGGAGGCTGAAGCAACAGGACTGCAAGTTTGAGCCCAGCTCGGAAAATTTAGTGACTTAGCAAGACCCTGCCTCAAAATTACAAAATGAAAAAGGCCCAGGGATATGGCTCAGTCTGATGGCCCTGGGTTCAATTCCCAGTACTGGGAAAAAAAAGTTTCTACACTTAAAAGCAAAAACAAAAAAAGTATTACTTTTTTTTTTTGGTACTGGGGATTGAACTTGGGACCTTGCATTTGCCAGGCAGGCGGCGGAACCACTGAGCTAAATCCCCGGCCCTACTCTTTCTTTTTAAATGCCAGCAAAATGTCAAAATCTATTGGAGTAGGTTCTGCACTGGACTTCAACATAGGCTCCTACTTTAGTTCATCACTTGTGATTACTTAGTTTTCATTCACCCACAGAAGTAAGAGGAAAAGCAGGAATTGAGCTCTTCCGTGATTTGCAAACCTGGCAATTGAGAAAGGGGCTTTAGTATTACAATCTTATGGAAATTTAATTTTTTCACTTTTTTATTGTGTGAAGTATGTGTAACAAAATTTGCCATCATGCAGGGCGAGGTGGTGCATGCCTGTAATTCTAACTCTCTGGGAGGCCGAGACAGGAGGATTTCAAGTTCCAACCCAGCCTGGGCAATTTACCAATTTAGGAGATGCTGTCTCAAATTTTTAAAATTAAAAAAAAAGACCTGGTGATGTAATTCAATGTATAGGCCTTGAGTTCAATCCCCAGTACTTCCAAAAAAACAAAAAAATACATACACATTGTACAACATCATCACCATCCATTTCCCAAACTCTTTTCATGTTGCTAAACTGAAACTCTGTGCCTATCAATATATATAGAGAGAGATACTCTCCATATATGTATATGTATGTGTAATTCCCCATTCCCCCATCCCATAGCCCCTGGCAACCACCACTATTTTGTATCTCTATGGATTTTTCTACTCTAGAAGTCTCTGTAAGCAGACTTATACAGTATTTGTCACTTTGTGACTTCACTTAGCATAATGTCCTCATGATTCATTCATAATGTCCTCATGATTCACTTAGCATAATGTCCTCATGTATTGTAGCAGGTGTCAGAATTTCCTTCCCTTTTAAGGCTAAGTGACATTCCGTTGTATGCATGTACCACATTTTGTTTATCCATTTATCTGTGGGTGGACATGGATTGCTTCCACTTTTTGGAAACTATAAATAATGCTGCTAAGAACACTGATGTATGAATATCTGTTTAAGTCCTTGCTTTCAATTCTTTTGGGGACATGCCCAGAAGTAAAATTGTTGTATCCTATGTGAACTCTCTTTTAGACTGTGTGTGTATGTGTGTGTGTCTATGTGTGTGTGTGTAGTGCTGGGGATTAAACCCAGGGCTTCACATTTGCTAGGCAAGTGCTCTACCACTGAGCTACACACCATCTCTTTTCAAAATATTTATTTTGGACAAGGTCTTATTAAGTTGACTAGGCTGGCCTTAAACTTGCAGTCCTCCTGCCTCAGCTTTTCCTACTAGCTGGGGTTACAGGCATGTGCTACCACATCTGGCCTATTTTGGATTTCTGCAGGAACTACAATATTGTTTTCCATAGTGGCCACACACACTTGACATTTCCACCAATGGCACAAGAGTTCTAATTTCACCCATTGATAACTTGCAATGCATGTGCAAAGTAAATTCAGGTCAGTCTAATCTAAAATAAAACTTTGTACATAGCAGCCACTCAAGTATTCTGTTGAATTCAACAATCAATATATTTTTATTGAAATATGTTGAATACACATTTATTGAATTCATACTATGCACATGGAAATACGTTAAGTATTTCAAGGGACACAGAAATGAACAATGGTCTCTACACTCAACGAGTTTTTAATCTAGTGGCTCTAATAAACTGAATTGACTGTACAGTATATTATTAAATATTTAGCTTTTAAAAGGAGACACTACTTGTACTAATATTAAAACCACTGAGCACAATTTGGTTTTGCACAGCTTTCTACCTGTTTGTGTCCAAACACAACCAGAGGAAGGATCGGGTTGGCTTCAATGAGTTGGTGAAGGTATTTCTTGGCTTCGGGCAATCGGTTGTGATCTGCTGAATCCACCACAAAGATGAGCAGCAATCCCTTGGACAGGTGCATTTCCCAGGAGGAACAGAAAGGCTCACTGCCACCAACTGCAGAGAATGGGAAAGGAAGAAGACACCAAACCCACAGAAGTGTCCAGTGAGGCAGAACTCAGGACACACCAGACAGTGTTAGAGGGAGCCCAGCTTTGAGGGCCACCATGGGGTGCTGCTGGGGAAACCTGGCTGTGGGAATAGCTCCCTTCACAAAAGGATCATTCACAATCACTCAGCAAAGACACCCAATACTGCAGTGAGGTCTCTATCCTGTTACCCAGCACACACATCACCCACTGCATGCTCATCAGTTATAGCTCAGAAAATGGGAGTAGGCAATAAAATAATTAACAGCAGGAGGTTAAAGTCATGTTACTTTGTTTGTTGAGACAGGGTCTCACTATGTAGCTCAGGCTGGCTTGAACTCACTGTGATCCTTCTGCCTCAGCCTACTGAGTGCTAGGATCACAGGTGCGTGCCAGCACACTCAGCTCTGCAAGAGTTCTTTATGTATTCTGGATAATACATATCCATTGGTTACGTATATTGCATGTATCTTCTCCCACTTTTTTTTTTTTTTTTTTGAGACAGGTTCTCACTATGCAGTTCAGGCTGGACTTGAACTCACTGTGTAGCCTAGGCTGGCCTCAAACTCATGGTGATCCTCCTGCCTCAGCCTCCTGAGTGCTGGGTTTAAAGTGTGAGACACCATGCCTGGCTTCTTTTCCCACTTTGTGGCTTTAAAAAAAATAAATAAACAAAAGTTCTGAATTTTAATGTAGTTGACTTTATCCATCCTTCTTTTTGATAGATGCTTTTTGTATCCTATTGAAAACATCTTTCTCTGAACTGAACACACTCAGCTTCAAGCAGTAGATACTGAAAGTACACCCTCATAGAACGCCCTCCTAGCTAGAACTCTTCTGCCCATAACTCCTAGAAATGGTTCCACATCCTGAGGGTTTGCCAACCCTGACAGCGCTTTTAATTCCAGAGGAAAGAACTACCACTAAACCTCTGGCCAGGATTCCCGTGTAACTTTGTAGAACCAACCTTACTAGGTGAGGCCCAGATAGATTTGTAACTCTGAAAAACCATGTTAGAGCCTTTTGTCTCCTAAAACCTAATACCCACTGGATATTAGGAAGAGCAGAGTTTGGGTTGTTCAAAATAATGAATGAGGACTGGGGATTTAGCTCAGTGGTGCCACACCTGCCTCACAAGCACAAAGTCCTGAGTTCAATCCCTGGTTCAAAAAAATAATAATGTTTACTCTTTCACTAGAGTATAAAAATTTTGGCACTCTTAAATATGTTTTTAGTTACAAAGTACTGATTTGAATTTGAAGGAGTTAAGTGCTAGAAATCAATCTGTCCCTTCATCTTCTAGAATTCCTTACGCCTGTCTTTTGTTGTTTACATGCTCATCTACCCAAACTTAGCATTATAGGGACCTCTTTGGGGCTGATAAATAACAGCCTTTTTCTCCCATAGTATTGATCATGACTTTAACATTCCTAAGAATATACATATTTCTGAATGATTTAAATTGAAAGAAATTTTAATATATAAAATACAATGTGCTTTCTGTCTGTTCAAATCTCTTCTCCATCATTTGTTTATATTTCCCATTAAATCTGTACACTGATTTTTTTTTGCTACTCTTAAAAACTAAAAATTCTAGCTCTGTTTTTATGTTAAACCTTCTGAATGTGTACCCCAATGTATGTGAACAATTACGACACATAAGTCATAGCTAAATAGTGAACTTCAAAGAGTTGATAACTTTTGCCCATTCATGTAAGTTTTGCTATTGCATTTATGTCCATGGCTATAAATTGTGTGCATTTATTCTGTATTTATGTTAGCTAGCTGAATTTAACTTGAATTGTTAAAATTCAAAAAATTAAAATAAGCTTATGAAACTAAAAAAAAAAAAAAAGAAAACATCTTTCTCTTGCCTGAAGACACGAGATATTCTCACTCTTTTTCTTTTAACTCTTTCACAGTGCTGGGGCTTGAACCCAGGGATGCTATACCACTGAGCTATATCCCAGCCTTTTTCATTCTTTATTTTAAAATAAGATCCCCCCCCAATAAAATAAAATTGGGTTTCCCTATGTTGCCCAGTCTGGCCTTCAACTTGTGATCCTCTTGTCTTAGTCTCCTGTGTGGCTGAGCTTACAGGAAGGTGCCTTCATGTTTGGCTTGTAATTGACTTTTTATTTTTTTGGTGATAGTGAGGATTAATTTCAGAGCCTTCAGACTAAGCTACATCTCCAGCCCTTTTAGTTCTTATTCTGAGACATAGTCCTGCTAAATTGCTAAATTGCCCAGGCTGGGCTCCAATTTGAAATCCTCCTGGCTTGGCCTCCCAGAGTGCTGGGATTATGAGAGTACACCATTGTGCCTGGTTTATAACTTATTTTTTATATTTTTTAGTGCCTCATTAAACTCACCATTTTTAATAATTTGAAAGGTGTTTTAGGTTTTCTTTGAAGACAATTATATCATTTGTAAACAAGTACTGCTGTGTTTCTTCCTTTGTAATCCTTAAAAATTTTCTTTTTCTTCAACTGACAAGGACCTTCTGCATAATGTTGAAGGAAAACATTCTGTTTGTCCTGATTTTCAAAGGACTACTTCTAACAGTTTACGCTGAGGAATCATGTATTCTGGGGTTTGGTACCATTTATTTTTAGCTTTAAAACACAGAAACGAGGGCTGGAGATTTAGCTTAGTGGTTTCACCACCTACTGTGGAAGCGCAAGGACCCGAGTTCGATTCCCGGTACCAAAAAAAAAGTAGAATTATTTGGGGCCGGGGATTTAGCTCAGTGGTTCTGCCACTTGCCTCTCAAGCACAAGGACCCAAGTTTGATCCCTGGTACCAAAAACAAAACAAAACAAAACAAAAAAACAACACAGAAACAAGAATTGAATTTAGCGATTTTTCTAGTTTTATTGAGGTGGTCACATTTATTTTTTACTTTAATAAATTTAGTGAATGACATTTATATGTGAGTTCAAGGCCAGCCTGGGCTACATAGTGAGTTTAAGGCCAGCCTAAACTATATAGTAAGACCCTGGCTCAAAACAAAATGAAAAACAACAAAAAAGACATTTACACATTTTTCAAGTGTTAAAGCAACTTTTCCATTCCCAGAGAAGCTCAGCTTAGTCATGATTTATTAGCTCTTTCAGATATTAGCTGGTTTTGGTTTATTACAATTTTGTTTTATTTCTGCATCTATGCTCATGAATTTCCCTTTCTTATCTTGTCTGTTTGGGATACAAGCACCTCATACTGGAGTTGGGGAGTACTTTTTTCTTTTTATCTCTGATTCTCTAGAAGAATTTATGTAAGATTAAGGTTCACAGAGACACATTTTTAGCAATTCATTTAATTTCTTTAAATTTTTTAAATTATTCAATACTTTATTCCTTCTTGAATTTGTTTTCACTATATATTTATTGTCACAAATGTAAACAGTATTTTTTGTCATTTTAATCAATGACATGCTCTTTTTTCATTCCAGACATTATTTTTGATTCCTTGTTTTTCCTCAATGAATTTCATAAGTTTGCCTGTTTTGTTTATCTTTCCAGGGAACTAACTTTTGAATTTCTTTTCTTTCTTTCTTTCTTTCTTTCTTTCTTTCTTTCTTTCTTTCTTTCTTTCTTTCTTTCTCTCTCTCTCTTTCTTTCTCTTTCTCTCTCTCTCTCTCTTTCTTTCTTTCTTTCCTCTTGCTTTAACTGTTCTGATCTTTGCTGTTGTATCTTTTCCTCTTTTTCAATTTTTTTTTTTTAGTACATGTCTGCCGTACATAATGATTACATTCCTCATGGGGAGTTGGTACATGGACATAGCTCATCCTAATTCTTTTCCATCCCCTTCTCCTTCCCTTCCCTCCATCTCTTCATTCCCTTCCCTTTTGCAAAAGATCTTTCCCTCTTTTTCCTATTATCTTTTATCTTGCTTTTATTTATATTTTGAGTATCTTATGTAAGAGAAACCATAAGATATTTAAGCTTGTGCATCTGATTTTTTTTACTTAGCATTATAGCCTCAAGGTTTGTTTTTGTTTGTTTTGGGTGTTTTTTTTTAAGACAGGGTCTCACACTGTGCAGTTCAGGGTGGCCTTGAACTCACTATGTAGCCCAGGCTGGCCTCAAACTCATGGAGATCCTCCTGCCTCAGCCTCCCAAGTGCTGGAATTATAGGCATGCACCACCACACCTGGCACCATTTTCTTTATAATCAATTTCATTGGTTTCTTTATTATCTTGTTCCTTCTATGCCCTTTGGTCTTATTGTTATTTTTTAAATCTACAGTGTATATTTATTCTACAAATTCATAGCTCTTTTCCTTTCATGTACTGTATAAGCATTTATGATTATTAATTTCTTTAAATTCATTACTGTTATGGCTTATAATTAGATGTCTCTCCAAAGCCTCATGTGCTCATAGGTAGGGCTTTGGGAGGTAATTGGATCATGGGGGTGTGATACTCAGTGGAAGAGTCCACTGATGAGTTTATAGCTAATGAGATGTTGGGAGATGAAGCCTGGTCAGAGGAGGTAGTAACTGGGGGAGTAGCCTGTAAGGGTCTATCTCCCTCTTCCTCCTTGATCTCTCTCTACTTCCTGCTCTCGTGCCATGAGCTCCTCCTCCGCAATGGCTCTGCCTTGAGCCAGCTGACTATGGACTGAAACCTCTACAAACTGTGAGCCAAAATAAACCTTTCTTCCTTTGAGTTGTGGGTGTTGGATATTGTATTTCAGTGTTGAGAAAGTAAGCAAAACAATTACTTCCTTGGCATGCCAGTTTTGATCAGCAGATTTCAGTGTTATTTTTAACAATCATTCACTTCTGAGTATTTTCAAATTTCCATTATGATTTTATCTTTGAACCATGAGTTATTTAGAAATGGAAACTCTGTCATTGAAGGTTTTTAAATTAGCAACTGATCTGCTTAAATATATCTTAAAATTCTGCTCTTTGTCACTGGATGAAAACAAAAATGAAATGGTGACCACCAGAATCTAAGTAAGAGGTGACGGCTGTTCTGACTCCCTGGGGGCAGTAGGCAGGGATGTAACTCATAAATTTGAGATATCCTTTGAGACAGAAAAATTTGAAGTATTTGACTTGTGGACTGAAGGCAAAGATAACAGTAGGAGAGACCAAGAGTGACTCAACTGGCTTCCGCCTAGACCAACCTGATGGGTGAGGAGCCATTTCCCAGTGGAGTATAGGGAAAGAAGAGATCTGAGATAAATCAAACATTTCTGCTTTGACCAAGCAAGTTTGGCAGGCCAATTGGACATTCAAGTACTGATGTCTGGATTGGACATATTTGAGCTGAATGGGTAAAACTGGGAATCATTGTCATGTTGATAGCACTTAATGCCATCAGGTGGATGAAGTCACCCACAGAGAGAGTGTAAAGAGAACACAGGAGGCCCTGCCCCAACTTTGGGGACCCGCAACATCTAATGAGGCTGTGACTCCAGAATTGCTATGCAATTCACCCATCCAGGCAGCAGAGGAAGTTTAGGGTTTATCCATACTTTCGCTGCAGAGAAGGGAGCACACTGTACTTAGACTGCATGTTGATTTGCAGCAGTGTGGGAACAGGGAGGATGATCATAGGAGATTACAGAAGGGCATGCAAAAAAAAGCCTTCCTCCAAACTCCCCTTTGTCCAACCAGCACTGCAAAAAAGGAGAAAGTTTAAAAAGCACAGTGATTCTCATCCCTCAGTGTACCTTTGAATTAAACCACACATGCATTATAAAAGCCTGGGAAAGCTGGGCATGGTGGTGCACGTTTGTAATCCCAGCACTCGGGAGGCTGAGGCAGGAGGATCACACGAGTTCAAGGCCAGCCTGGACAGAGTGAGACCCTGTCTCAAAAAACAAAACAAGGGCCGGGGATTTAGCTCAGTGGTTCCACTGCTTGCCTCACAAGCACAAGGACCGGAGTTCGATCCCCCGTACCAAAAACAAAACAAAACAAGCCTGGGAAAATCTGATCCAGAGCTACTTTGGACAAGGTCCTGGGGTTGATCACACCACACTGGTGGTGAAGAGGGCTTACTCTCCAGGAACTCCATAAGGCTGCCTCCCATGTCGATGCACACTGCATTGAATCCTTGGGTGGGTGCCACACTGCGCTGGACTCTGTTTGAAGCTAAAGTGTGGAAGACGCTGGTTTTCCCTGCTCCATCCAGGGCTAGAACTAGGATCGGCTTACTTTCCTCCTGTGAAACAAAACATAAACCAATAAACCCGTGCAACAAACCTCGCTTTCCTGGCTACTGACAGTATGCCGGCCTGCGGTACGACCTAATCACTGTCATCAAATTGCAAACCAGAGCAAAACTTAACAAAAATGTGTGTAAATCAAAATCAAATGGTACCAATCAATATTTTCTAATTAGCCTTTACTAGTTACGTGATGTTAACCCTTCTCCATCTCCCAACTTGTGGTCAGCCTGTCAAACACTCTGCATATATAACATATTACATACATATAAAGCATTAAGTACTTTGTAACATATTTATACATATATGAAGTATTTTTGTGTGGGTGCCATTGATCACAAGGCCAATTTTCAGGATTTAGTTTGCTTCTTGAGTTCATGTCTATCGAAGATGCCCTCAGAATTCTGTTGTTTGGGGTGCAAATGTTGATGGTGCCACTCAGCATGTAAGGTCTCATATTACTCATCATTATCATTAATCTGTCTTGCCTTCACAATTGAATAACTTGATTTAAAATCTTAGAGCAGAATTGCCTTCATATTTGTAAAATATAAGTACCATGATGAAATGAAAAGTCTAAGATTATAGGAATCATCAAACCAATTCTAAATAACAAGAGTATTTGTTCAAAAGCCCAATGTGAAGCCTGATGAGCAGGAAGTAAACTTGAAAAGATGAATTCTACCAACATACCAGGCTTAGAGATTTTAATTGCAAATGACTGAGATAAGAGGAGAGCAGGTGGTGAGGAGACAGAGGCAGCCAGAGATGTGGTGTCCATGGTGCAAACTTTAATGTAAATAATAATGTAATAGTAAATAGCCAGACTGCTCAGAGAATTCAATTCTATTTTCCGAGCAGCTTAATAAAGAAGTTTCTCATGGCTTGGCTTGGTGGTGCATGCCTGTAATCCTAGGTACTAGGGAGGCTGAGGCAGATGCATCACAAGTTCAAGGCTGGTCTGGACGCTTTAGCAAGCCCCTATCTTAAAATAAAAAGGACTGAGGATATAGCTCAGTGGTAGGGTGCCCCTGGGTTTGATCCCCAGTACCCTCCCCAACACACAAAGTTAATTGTGCACGCACACACACACACACACACACACAAAACCCTAATTGTCTTTAATAGCACTGGTGCAAAGCCAAACATGGTGTATACTTGTAATCCTAGCATTTGAGAGGCTGAGGCAAGAGGATCACAAGGTCAAGACCAGCTGGGACAATTTAGGGACTTGAGACCCTGAGGGGAAAACAAAATAATACAACCTAGGGATTTAGCTCAGTGTGAAGCCTGAGCTCAATCCCCAGTAACACACACACACACACACACACACAGCATAAGCAGCACTGGTTGAGAAATAATCTTATACATTTCTACTTGAACACTAAATGTTGATGCTAGGCTTAGATTAGATTTTTGGAAAAAAGTGATTTTAAACAGCATTAGAATGTCTACTCTACTATTTGTTGTTTTAAAAGATCTATGTGAAAGTGAGATGTTGTAAGAGCTGGCCTAATAGAAACTTGTGTAAAAAGTATGATTTATGAAAGCCAAGTAGTAACAGAATTTGAAAAAGTACATCTTTGTTCTTGGAATGAATTCTTGATGGCTCCAGAAGCAAACACATTTTCATGGGTCTTTCCTCCTCTGTTCCTACCTTGTTCCCCACTCCCTCCATCTGCATCTGTGTTATAGCACTGTTCTGAGAGGGTGCTGTGGTAAGGAAAAAGACTTGGCACACAAAAGAGATTTCATTAGATGTTTTTAAACTGCACACTTTGAAGCAGTAGTGTCATCAAGAGATGGGACACACAGTATGGGTTATGCCCCCCAATCTCCACTGGGGACCCCACTCATGCTACCCACACATTCTTCATTCATTTGATGATGCACACACTCCCCTTGCTGTAATGTCTCTGAATTTAGGACGATTTTATAAGCGATTGTGTCATATTTTATTTGCAGTGTTTTTCCTTCCTTAGCTACACATAAAATAACAGCATCCTAGATCCCATGAACTACCGAATTAGTAACAATTCCCCAATCCTTTTCCAACCACACTGCTGCCCCTCAGTCCATCCTAACTAGAAATCCTATGCTTACTTGTGTTTTCCATTTTGCTTCTATTCTCAGTCTAAAATAACAGACTTTGGGCTGGGGATGCAGCCCTTTGGGAGAGGACATGGGCAGGGCCTTGGGTTCATCCCCAGTACCAAAAATAAAGAGAGGAAGGAAGAAGAGCAAAGAAAAGACAAGGGGAAAAAATACCAGAGATCTGATTTTTATCATCTTCTAGGGAAAGTTGAGCTCACTGTTTTCAAGAGTTCAGATGTGCCCCAGCATGCATCTGTGATCAGCTACTCAGGAGGCTGAGGCAGAAGGATCAGAAGTTCTAGGCCAGCCTGGGCAATTTAGTGAGCTCCTGTTTCAAAATAAAAAGAGCTCCAGATGAAGCTCAGTGCTACAGCACTTGTGAGAGATCCTAGGTTCAATCTCCAGCTCCTCACCAAAAAACACTACTATTCTTTGTCAAGTTATTCCTTTAGCCATAGAAGGCCCCAAGAAATCTGTGTATTGCCAAGGGTCAAATCGCTATTAATAATTCAAATTGTGTAGAACCAGAAACCCGTTGTGGGCCAACAGCCAGCCCAGGAACTCTAGGAGCAGAGAGCGCATCGAGCTGAGCCAAACAATGTCTCAGTTCTGAGACCCCTAGGTTACATTTGCAACTCTGGATGATGCAAGCAGTAATCCATGGAAGAGAATTTATGCGGGATGTATCTGGTCCGCATAAATTCAGATGCATCCCTCATAAATTCAGGAACCTTGCACATTCCAATCACGAATGTATTCAAGGGAAAGAGAGCCCGCGTGCGTGGAGGGTTCGGGACGAAGGTTCGGTGTCGGGAGAGGCCGGGACAGAAGGCCCTTCCTTCCCTGTGTCGTCCGGACAACTAGACAGGATCTGTGGTTCCTCCACACCACGGCCCGCAGTCGGGACACGGTTAGGGCAGGGGCAGAGCCAGGGGTGGGCGAAGGGGCATTGGAAGCCTGACGTGCCCCATCCCAAGCCTGCAGGTAACACCCGAGTCCCTGCGCAGGGACCTCGGAAGTAACAGGGCCGCATCCCGGTCTGAAGCTTCCACGGCCTTGGCAGCGACAATGGCCGTGGACAGGCGGTGAGTATCGGGTCTCTTACCTGTGGTTTGGGCGGGGTGCTCGTCAAGGTGCCCTTATTCTTCTCTTCCTGTTTTGCTTTACATTGCTCCTTCTCTTTGTCTGTCTCCTTGCCTTGCTCCTTCCTCTTTTCCTCTTTATCTTTTCTCTTACTCTTCTCCTTCCCAATCTCGTTCGTCTGTCCTTTGTTTTTTTCTTGAATTTTCTCTCCAGCCCCTTTCTTTTTCTCTTCCTTTTCTGTTCTCCTAATTTTCTCCCTCACGGCCTCCTTCCCTTTCTCCTTCTTCACTTTCCCCTTCTCCATCCCCACCGCCCCAGTCCTTCCTCCCCACAACCCGCGCGCCCGCGCGCTGGAGCCGGAGCCGCGGCTGCCCCGTCCTCGCAGGTGTGGCCGGGGCGCAGGGGGGACAAAGGTGCTCGGCGTCACGCCCGCGCTCACCTCGCCGCAGCCAGAGCAGCGCGCGGCCTGCCGCCGGGCCTCTCTCCCTCTCTCTCTCTCTCTCTCTCTCTCTCTCTCTCTCTCTCTC